ACGACAGCTCGGAAATTCTTACTCTGATCGTTCTGATAAGAAAAGAACTCTCGAATTTGTTGGTGAGGGCTGTATACGAAGGCCTACATTAAGTGCCTTGAGGATGTAGTGCTGACCTGGGTCAAGAGGAAGACTGCTGGAAGTCCCTATATCTGGCCACAGGACTCTGCACCATGTCACACAAGCATGAGAACCCAATCATGGCTGTCAGACAATTTATGCGACCACATCACTCCTCATATCTGGCCACCAAACTCCCCAGAGTCCAACCCCCTTGATTATTGTTAGTGGAGAACAGTTGAACGTAAAACCAACATAACTCCTGGTAAGACTAAAGTGTAACAGAGAGCAAGTATTATAGCAACATTCCCCAACTTAAACAAGGAGACCGTTCAGAAGAGTTGCAGGAGATTCAGAAGTCATCTGGAGTCCATGGTTGAAGCCAATGGCGACTTTATTGAATACATTTACTTTTTAGTATTTCAAAATATTTTAGTGTAATTTTGGTATATATATCTTTTAAAATGAGTCGTCGGTGTTATTTTTATTTTTGAATAATTTTAACGAGAATTTATCCATCACAACTGTTATGGGATCTTACTCATAATAATAATAATGGACTATTCCATATTCAATCAATACTGCCTCAGTCAGTAGGCAAGGAGTCAGTAGTTAAAGTGGAGTAAGTAGTTCAAGTCGAGACAAGAGTCGAGTCAGAGGCAGTCCGAAACAGAGTCACGTTCAGACAATTACTGCAAGACATTGGAATAGTGATACTGGTCGAGACTACATTGTTCTCCTACTAAACCTGATTGTTCATACTAACACTTCTACTAATCTGTATATATTCCTGTTTGTAATATATCTGTTTATTCCATACCTGTGTTCGAGTTCTTCTTTATTGGTTCTACCTTGGACCATCACCGGACAATAACAACAACTTATATACATACATACATACATATATATATATATATATATATATATATATATATATATATATATATATATATATATATATATATATTAAGGGTGTGCCACTAGCGAGCAAGGGGTTACAGAGAGTGGGAGCAAGGGTAAAGAGGCGTGATAAAGGAAAGGACGGAGAGAAGGACGGGGAATAGATCAAAGTATCCGAAGATGTCGATTGACTTTGCATTTAAATAGTTGGAGATTATAGCAAGTAAGAGGAAGGGAGTTCCACAAACTGGAAGTGCGAGACATGAAGCTATTGGAGTAGAAGAGACAGCTACATTTAACCGTTTCGACAGTGAAAGGGTGGGAATGAGATGCCGAACTGGTGCCACGTTTAAATTCATGCAGTTTGTGAACCAGCGAATGTAGCTCGTCGGAGCTGTTACCGTGAAAGTATTTGTAGAAAAGACAGATGAATGCGACGGCACGTATGTGAGAGACCGACTGTAGACGAGATGCCAGATCAGGGCCAACCTCATTGCATATCCGTCTCTGGATTTTGTCGAGGACCCTAAGTCGAACAGCGGGGGCACCAGACCATATAAGGCAGCAGTATTCCATGCAAAGGCGTTGATTTATAGATTTGAAAGATGAGTGTGATCTACAAAGAGGCAGACACTCTGATATGCTAATTAATATACGGTGTTTGTGTGAAGGCAAGCTGTTGCCGAGGGCAGGTTATGTAAACCATCGGAAAGTTCATCATGACAACCAGATATAAGCCAACTATGCCAGCCTCTCTTATCACCCTCCCAACAATATCTGTGTTAAGCCCTTAAGGACACATGACTTAGTGGATAAAGGCGTTGGTTATATCCAGTGACATGACTCAAAGAGTTGTGAGTTCAATACCTGGTTAAAGCAGTGGAGAATTTGGAGAGGTGAATTAACACGAGATAACTGATAACTGACACCCATTAGACATGGCAAGTGGAACTAGAACAGCGAGCGAAATAAAGGGTTCAGTTCGACATTCCAACCACCTGAAGCAGGCCGGAGCGTACAAGGGCCGAAACGTTGTAATAAATATGGCGACAAAGATGAGGACAATAGTCCGAATGATGTAAATAGTGTACATAATATCTCTTCTCAGAAATATAGACAGATACTGAAGGATCGGATAAATATGGCGACAAAAATGAGGACAATAGTCCGAATAATGTAAATAATGTGCATAATACCTCATCTCAGAAATATAGACAGATACGGAAGGATCGGATAAATATGGCAACAAAGATGAGGACAACAGTCCGAATAATGTAAATAATGTACATAATACCTCATCTCAGAAATATAGACAGATACTGAAGGATCGGATAAATATGGCAACAAAGATGAGGACAATAGTCCGAATAATGTAAATAGTGTGCATAATACCTCATCTCAGAAATATAGACAGATACTGAAGGATCGGATAAATATGGCGACAAAGATGAGGACAATAGTCCGAATAATGTAAATAGTGTACATAATACCTTATCTCAGAAATATAGACAGATACTGAAGGATCGGATAAATATGGCGACAAAGATGAGGACAATTTTCCGAATAATGTAAATAGTGTACATAATACCTCATCTCAGAAATATAGACAGATACTGAAGGATCGGATAAATATGGCAACAAAGATGAGGACAATAGTCCGAATAATGTAAATAGTGTACATAATACCTCATCTCAGAAATATAGACAGATACTGAAGGATCGGATAAATATGGCGACAAAGATGAGGACAATAGTCGAATAATGTAAATAGTGTACATAATACCTCATCTCAGAAATATAGACAGATACTGAAGGATCGGATAAATATGGCAACAAAGATGAGGACAATAGTCCGAATAATGTAAATAGTGTACATAATACCTCATCTCAGAAATATAGACAGATACTGAAGGATCGGATAAATATGGCGACAAAGATGAGGACAATAGTCGAATAATGTAAATAGTCTACATAATACCTTATCTCAGAAATATAGACAGATACTGAAGGATCGGATAAATATGGCGACAAAGATGAGGACAATAGTCCGAATAATGTAAATAGTCTACATAATACCTTATCTCAGAAATATAGACAGATACTGAAGGATCGGATAAATATGGCGACAAAGATGAGGACAATAGTCCGAATAATGTAAATAGTCTACATAATACCTTATCTCAGAAATATAGACAGATACTGAAGGATCGGATAAATATGGCGACAAAGATGAGGACAATAGTCCGAATAATGTAAATAGTCTACATAATACCTTATCTCAGAAATATAGACAGATACTGAAGGATCGGATAAATATGGCGACAAAGATGAGGACAATAGTCCGAATAATGTAAATAGTCTACATAATACCTTATCTCAGAAATATAGACAGATACTGAAGGATCGGATAAATATGGCGACAAAGATGAGGACAATAGTCCGAATAATGTAAATAGTCTACATAATACCTTATCTCAGAAATATAGACAGATACTGAAGGATCGGATAAATATGGCAACAAATATGAGGACAATAGTCCGAATAATGTAAATAGTGTACATAATACCTCATCTCAGAAATATAGACAGATACTGAAGGATCGGATAAATATGGCAACAAAGATGAGGACAATAGTCCGAATAATGTAAATAGTGTACATAATACCTCATCTCAGAAATATAGACAGATACTGAAGGATCGGATAAATATGGCGACAAAAATGAGGACAATAATCCGAATAATGTAAATAGTGTACATAATACCTCATCTCAGAAATATAGACAGATACTGAAGGATCGGATAAATATGGCAACAAAGATGAGGGCAATAGTCCGAATAATGTAAATAGTGTACATAATACCTCATCTCAGAAATATAGACAGATACTGAAGGATCGGATAAATATGGCAACAAATATGAGGACAATAGTCCGAATAATGTAAATAATGTACATAATAACTCATCTCAGAAATATAGACAGATATTGAAGGATCGGATAAATATGGCAACAAAGATGAGGGCAATAGTCCGAATAATGTAAATAGTGTACATAATACCTCATCTCAGAAATATAGACAGATACTGAAGGATCGGATAAATATGGCAACAAATATGAGGACAATAGTCCGAATAATGTAAATAGTGTACATAATACCTCATCTCAGAAATATAGACAGATACTGAAGGATCGGATAAATATGGCGACAAAAATGAGGACAATAATCCGAATAATGTAAACAGTGTACATAATACCTCATCTCAGAAATATAGACAGATACTGAAGGATCGGATAAATATGGCAACAAATATGAGGACAATAGTCCGAATAATGTAAATAGTGTACATAATACCTCATCTCAGAAATATAGACAGATACTGAAGGATCGGATAAATATGGCGACAAAAATGAGGACAATAATCCGAATAATGTAAATAGTGTACATAATACCTCATCTCAGAAATATAGACAGATACTGAAGGATCGGATAAATATGGCAACAAAGATGAGGACAATAGTCCGAATAATGTAAAATAGTGTACATAATACCTCATCTCAGAAATATAGACAGATACTGAAGGATCGGATAAATATGGTGACAAAAATGAGGACAATAATCCGAATAATGTAAATAGTGTACATAATACCTCATCTCAGAAATATAGACAGATACTGAAGGATCGGATAAATATGGCAACAAAGATGAGGGCAATAGTCGAATAATGTAAATAGTGTACATAATACCTCATCTCAGAAATATAGACAGATACTGAAGGATCGGATAAATATGGCAACAAATATGAGGACAATAGTCCGAATAATGTAAATAGTGTACATAATACCTCATCTCAGAAATATAGACAGATACTGAAGGATCGGATAAATATGGCGACAAAAATGAGGACAATAGTCCGAATAATGTAAATAGTGTACATAATACCTCATCTCAGAAATATAGACAGATACTGAAGGATCGGATAAATATGGCAACAAAGATGAGTACAATAGTCCGAATAATGTAAATAGTGTACATAATACCTCATCTCAGAAATATAGACAGATACTGAAGGATCGGATAAATATGGCAACAAAGATGAGGACAATAGTCCGAATAATGTAAATAGTGTGCATAATACCTCATCTCAGAAATATAGACAGATACTGAAGGATCGGATAAATATGGCGACAAATATGAGGACAATAGTCCGAATAATGTAAATAGTGTACATAATACCTCATCTCAGAAATATAGACAGATACTGAAGGATCGGATAAATATGGCGACAAAAATGAAAACAATAGTCCGAATAATGTAAATAGTGTACATAATACCTCATCTCAGAAATATAGACAGATAGTGAAGGATCGGATAAATATGGCAACAAATATGAGGACAATAGTCCGAATAATGTAAATAGTGTACATAATACCTCATCTCAGAAATATAGACAGATACTGAAGGATCGGATAAATATGGCGACAAAAATGAGGACAATAGTCCGAATAATGTAAATAGTGTACATAATACCTCATCTCAGAAATATAGACAGATACTGAAGGATCGGATAAATATGGCAACAAAGATGAGTACAATAGTCCGAATAATGTAAATAGTGTACATAATACCTCATCTCAGAAATATAGACAGATACTGAAGGATCGGATAAATATGGCGACAAAGATGAGGACAATAGTCCGAATAATGTAAATAGTGTACATAATACCTCATCTCAGAAATATAGACAGATACTGAAGGATCGGATAAATATGGCAACAAAGATGAGTACAATAGTCCGAATAATGTAAATAGTGTACATAATACCTCATCTCAGAAATATAGACAGATACTGAAGGATCGGATAAATATGGCAACAAAGATGAGGACAATAGTCCGAATAATGTAAATAGTGTACATAATACCTCATCTCAGAAATATAGACAGATACTGAAGGATCGGATAAATATGGCGACAAAAATGAGGACAATAGTCCGAATAATGTAAATAGTGTACATAATACCTCATCTCAGAAATATAGACAGATACTGAAGGATCGGATAAATATGGCGACAAAGATGAGGACAATAGTCCGAATAATGTAAATAGTTTACATAATACCTCATCTCAGAAATATAGACAGATACTGAAGGATCGGATAAATATGGCAACAAAGATGAGTACAATAGTCCGAATAATGTAAATAGTGTACATAATACCTCATCTTAGAAATATAGACAGATACTGAAGGATCGGATAAATATGGCAACAAAGATGAGGACAATAGTCCGAATAATGTAAATAGTTTACATAATACCTCATCTCAGAAATATAGACAGATACTGAAGGATCGGATAAATATGGCGACAAATATGAGGACAATAGTCCGAATAATGTAAATAGTGTACATAATACCTCATCTCAGAAATATAGACAGATACTGAAGGATCGGATAAATATGGCGACAAAAATGAGGACAATAGTCCGAATAATGTAAATAGTGTACATAATACCTCATCTCAGAAATATAGACAGATACTGAAGGATCGGATAAATATGGCAACAAAGATGATAATAGTCCGAATAATGTAAATAGTGTACATAATACCTCATCTCAGAAATATAGACAGATACTGAAGGATCGGATAAATATGGCAAAAAAGATGAGGACAATAGTCCGAATAATGTAAATAGTGTACATAATACCTCATCTCAGAAATATAGACAGATACTGAAGGATCGGATAAATATGGCGACAAAAAATGAGGGACAATAGTCCGAATAATGTAAATAGTGTACATAATACCTCATCTCAGAAATATAGACAGATACTGAAGGATCGGATAAATATGGCAACAAAGATGATAATAGTCCGAATAATGTAAATAGTGTACATAATACCTCATCTCAGAAATATAGACAGATACTGAAGGATCCGATGAATTTGGCAACAAATATGAGGACAATAGTCCGAATAATGTAAATAGTGTACATAATACCTCATCTCAGAAATATAGACAGATACTGAAGGATCGGATAAATATGGCAACAAAGATGAGGACAATAGTCCGAATAATGTAAATAGTGTACATAATACCTCATCTCAGAAATATAGACAGATACTGAAGGATCGGATAAATATGGCGACAAAAATGAGGACAATAGTCCGAATAATGTAAATAGTGTACATAATACCTCATCTCAGAAATATAGACAGATACTGAAGGATCGGATAAATATGGCAACAAATATGAGGACAATAGTCCGAATAATGTAAATAGTGTACATAATACCTCATCTCAGAAATATAGACAGATACTGAAGGATCGGATAAATATGGCGACAAATATTTCGAAAATTATAAAATTAACCCATTAGAAAAAAAAATCATATTATTTACCTATAATATTTAATATATAATAAATCAAGTTCAAATTACTTATATGCCAAATTATTGTATCTATCTATCTATCTATCTATCTATCTATCTATCTATCTATCTATTTTGATTTGTTCCTTCATCTATCTATCTAATCAGGATGAGTGATTGATTAATATAGTGTTATCAAATACATTTATCAAACATCTGACCTTCATGAGCGTTTCGACGCAAAAGTCTTGATTCAGCTAACTTGATAAGTCATTAAACCTTTCTTAATTTATTGAATATTATATATATATATATATATATATATATATATATATATATATATATAGATAGATAGATAGATAGATAGATATGCCTAATCTGACATAGATAGATATGAACAGTGATAGTTAGATAATGACATAAAGGGTTTAGTTCGACATTCTAAAAACGTTGCGATAAATATGGCAACAAAGATGAGGACAATAGTCCGAATAATGTAAATAGTGTACATAATACCTCATCTCAGAAATATAGTCAGATACTGAAGGATCGGATAAATATGGCAACAAAGATGAGGACAATAGTCCGAATGATGTAAATAGTGTACATAATATCTCATCTCAGAAATATAGACAGATACTGAAGGATCGGATAAATATGGCGACAAAAATGAGGACAATAGTCCGAATAATGTAAATAGTGTACATAATACCTCATCTCAGAAATATAGACAGATACTGAAGGGTCGGATAAATATGGCGACAAAGATGAGGACAATAGTCCGAATAATGTAAATAGAATACCCGTGTTGTTTGCAACAAAGTTTGCAGATCATCATCTGGACTAAGGAGGCACGTCATGGTTCAGAGAAGAATTGTAGGCCAAGCAGATCCAATCAACCCAATCACGACTAGAAAGTTTATCTGTTATTTACGCATGATAGCCATGAAACCGTATGCTGGTCTCATGAATCATCTGAGGCTTACGACCTGGATGGGTTAGCGCCGGGGAAACACCAGGCGCTGGGAGCTCTGATGTGAAGGTGGTGTAATGGATAATGGCTCGGAATTAGGAAAATATATAAATCCACCTCTTCGCCCAGCTATGGATTAATTAGTACAACTGGTATCACTAAATAATCATTATCTATTAAAAACAATCTTAAAATCTCAAAATATTTTCTGGCTTTAAATAACCTGCAGAGGGTTGATAAACCGTAAGAAACGAATCAATCAATCAGTCGATCAATCAAAAGTCATCTTAGGAGACATCTTAAAAGTAAGGAAAGAAGCCATTACAAGTTAATTCAAGGGTGAAGTGACAATCATTTTATATATATATATATATATATATATATATATATATATATATATATATATATATATATATGTGTGTGTGTGTGTGTGTGTGTGTGTGTGTGTGTGTGTGTGTGTGCTCAATTTTAAATACTTTTTAATGCACATAAAAACAAGATTTTTTAAATTATTTACCCATTAACAACTTAGGAAAGAATTTAAAGACAGATATGTAAACCATTTGCTATCATTTAAACATGACAGAAATTACACCATACTGTCAAAACACATATGAGAACTACACATGAAAGGAAAATCAACGGTCATAGAAAGGAATAAAATAAAAAGCGTGAAGAAAAGCAGAGCAAGAAATTGAAATCTGTGCATAATGGAGAAACTGAAAGTTGTACACTTGCCGAATGAGAATGAATTAATAATGAAATGGAACAAAATTATTTCAAATTATCGAAACGCTAATGCATTCCCTTTTTAAAATAAACGGGGAAAAGTACTAGAGAGCTCAGAAGCGTCTAAAACAAAAAAAAAAACCCATTTTGAAAATAGCACAGCATTACACAGGGTTTTAATGGGTAAATATTATATATACATATATATATATATATATATATATATATATATATATATATATATATATATATACACACACACACACACATATATATATATATATATATATATATATATATATATATATATATATATATGAAATGGACTGAGTCTGACAAATATTTTAATGTAGTTTTTGTTTATACGTTATTTTTATTTTTAAAAAAATCATATCTGCTCGAAGCGTATTTTAACTTAAACAAATGACATTTCATAATATATAATGTCATTTGTTTGCCTTAAAATACGCTTTGAACAGATATGAACGTCCGAAATCATGGGAAAGCAGTAATTTAAGCTTGCTCGCAAGACGCGTACGATACAGGTTCGATTCCTGTAGGAACGGCAAATATTTTCTTCGAAATTTCTCGAAAGTTCAGAACGGTAAATGTTAATACTATTTATTATAAACAGAGCATTTATTTAACTGTTTGTTTGTGTGTTTGTATTTGTGTGTGTGTATATATATATATATGATCGAAATAAAAGTGTAAAACTTAATATTACTACACATATTAAAAACTTCCTTTTATTGTACATTTTTCTGTGTTTAATTTTAAATAAAATCTTCCGTTGAAGCCTTAAGAGCGGGATCGAAACCGGGTTGCTTCGCCCGTTTTTAATATGTCTCGTAATATTAAGTTTTATACTTTTATTTCGATCATTAAATTTTGTACCTACAAATATATATATAGAGAGATAGATAGATAGAGATAGAGATATCAAGATATAAATGTAAATAAACATACTAGTTGCTAGACATATACATAAGACATTTTTTATGTCTATACTTTCTTTTTATAGATATAAATATTTAAGTAAATGCTCTGTTTATAATAAACAGTATTAACAACATTTACTGGCCTGAATGTCCGAGAAATTTTCATAGAAAATATTCGTCCTCCGACAGCAATCGAACCTGTATCCTATACGGAACCGTCATATAGCCTGACGTGCCTTTAACCGATTGGGCCACCGAGGAGCGTTCAGTTTGCAAAGTCAATTTTACTGTTTTTAAACACAATTCTCCATGATTTTTTCTCATTCGTTCATATCTGTTCAATGCGTATCCAAATGTAAACAAATGACGTCATACATTATGAAATGGACAAAGTTAAATATGTCTTAAATAATTGTCTTAAATAATTACATAAATGTCTTAAATAATTGCCGAACTTTGTCCATTTCATAATATATATATATATATATATATATATATATATATATATATATATATATATATATATAATGTTATCTCGCCTTCAATCACTTCCCCACTGCCGTAATGTAGCTTTTCTGTGTCTTTTCTATAAATAAATTTAGCTTTCCTCAATGGCGCCTCAACTTTAAGAATTTAAGCGCAACACCAGATGTTCAACAAGATTTCACTATTTTAACTGAAATGGCTCGATATAACAGGAAGTTCTATGTTAACAGTTTGTTCTACCACACTTCTCGCCTGTGGAACTATCTTCCGGCATCTTCCTTTGCAGTCATCTTGCTTTTCCAAACAAAAAGAAGACACACACAAACAAATAAGAAAGAAAGAAGCAAACAAACAAAAAGGAAAGAATGAAAGAAAGAAAAAAAAAAAGAAAAAGAAAAAGAAAGAAAGAACGAAAGAATAAAAAAAAGAAAGAAAGAAATTCGTAGATATTAACGTCTGAATTTACTGGAACATTCTGGTGACGATACATGTTTGGTGTCGGTAGGGCATTGGTCATCGAGTTCGGGCATTGGTCATCGAGTCCGGTCTTTTTTTGCCAACAAATGTCGTAGACAGAGAAAAAAGAGATAAAAATAGACAAAACTTGAAATGCCGATGAAGCAAGATAAAAGATAAATATAATATAAGCACTATTATAAGAGTTGTTTCGACTCGAAGGCAGAGTGCTGTCTCTTCTTCAGCAACTTTGTAAATAACAATCCTTCCCAAACCACACACACACACACACACACACACACACAAGCTGGGTTTTATAATAAGTAAGATGATATTGTTGTAGATGCGTCCGACAATGTAGCTACAAGATATCTTGTAAATGACGCCTGCGTTATGTGTAACAAACCTTTTGTATCAGGAAGTGCCCTGCGTTTTGAGGGACAGGTAAGCAAGAAACATGAAATATTATTTATTTACCAGCTGACAATGGGACTAATATTAATGAAAATGTGATGAGTGAAAATCTTTTTCATATGACACTTAGCATCTTATTTATTCATTTCATATTTTTTGTTGGTTTTTATCTCTTATCCAAGAATTTAATTACTTCTTCACTGATCTCTTCCTTTATGATGATAATGACGACTAAATTCACCATTAATTTTCAGGTTCAGGACTAGAAGCTTCCAGTTTCACCAAAGCCTTCGCCCATTATCCATTTAAGGAGGATGTCAACGGACTACTGCTGACTCTGTTATAATTTCAAATGGTGCCTTCTGTAGCATGTCTATTGGATTCCTTGGGGTCGGTTGCTCTTAGTCCTCATCTTCGACCTTGCCATCGAAGGTGGTCCTACCAGGAGTTTAGACCTCCCAATGGCACTGTTCTCAGTCACTTGACCATGCAAGCTCTGCCACCATGACAATTCAAAAGCGCCAGAGATTGAACAGATACTACACTATGATTGTTAGTAAAAAAAAGTGTAATGGCTGTACATACAAACAAACAAAAAATGCTTAATTCAATTGAGAAGGGACAGAGATTGGACAGATAGTCGTTGTTGGTTTTATCTTGTATCCAAGAATTTAATTTCAGTTTTACTGATTGCTTCCTTTATGATAATGGTGTTTATGAGTACATTCACCACCAATGTCCAGGTTCAGGACTAGAAGCTTCCAGTTTCAACAAAACATTCTCCTACCATCCATTCCTTATTGCCATTTGGCTTTGCAAGATTTAATTGGAGGTGAAAGAAAATAAGTGCCAATGTTGTGAATTTGTTTAAGGTGGATGTCAACTTGCTAGGAAGTGACTGACACATTTGATTTCATGACCTTCCTCTTCGGCACATATGGAATGAAACATGCGGAATCCAGTTATGAAACTGCAATGGACTACTGCTGACTCTGTTATAATTTCAAATGGTGCCTTCTGTAGCATGTCTATTGGATTCCTTGGGGTCGGTTGCTCTTAGTCCTCATCTTCGACCTTGCCATCAAAGTTAGTCCTACCAGAAGTTTAGAACTCCCAACGGAATCATCCATCGCTTATTGACATTTGGCCTTGTAAGATTTAATTGGGGGTGAATGAGA